TTCCTTATATAGATTCTAAAATTTTGTGGATGGAGAAAAAATAACAATATATCACAAAAATATATGTTAAATAAAAAAAGTGATGTTTACAATGTTAGTGTTTTATTATGGGAGATATTAAGTGATAACCCTCCTTTTTATATGATTTAGCTATAGAAATCTTACAAGGATTCAGAAAAAGTGTCATTTCTGGTACACTTGAAGATTATGTAAACATTTATATTGATAAATAAATTTTTACTAAATTTAAAAATTCAAATAAAAATTTTTTTTTTGATAACTAAATCATTTATATGATTGTAGAATGCTAGGATAAAGAGCCAGATAATCGTCCAGTAATGAACAAGGTAGTTGATAAATTAAATGCAATTATTGCAAAAACAAATATAATAGTACATAATCAAATTAATAATGAAGAATCAAGTCTTCAATTTTCTGAAAAACAACCTTATTCAAGTATTAATAATATATTAAATGGAGGATTATCTCAGATAATTCAAAATTTAAATCAAATGAATTCAGATGAATTAGAATCTAATAATGAAGCATTTGCCATTATTTACGATGATACGATTGATAGTTTAACGATTATGGAACTTAATATATTAAACACCCTAGGAGGATTACATAGATTTCAAAATTACAAGTACTCGTCTGTAATAATACTCAATTAACTTGCTTAGCTTACCAACTTTACCAGATTCCTTAACGAAAACTCAGTTGCTTTGATACACAAATAAATAGCCTACCAAATTTACCCAATTCCTTGATGGATATCAAACCTTGATCTTTAAAAACTCAATACTCTATAAAATCTACCTGACTTCTGCCTGAATATCTCTATTAATAACCTTCTACATATTATAAAACTATTAAGCTTTCTTAGTATATAGACATTTCGTAATGTTATTTTAATTTAAGAATTAGTGTTTGAATTCAAATTAAAGGATTATTATTTCCTTTTTTATCCTCTTAGCATTACATTTTAATATATCATTTCAAATAAATTGCGGATTTTGATATTTATGATAGTTTTATCAATGTAATTAAATAAGAACTTATCCTTTCTCCCATTATATATTATTCTGTTTTTTAAAAAAATATAGTATAGATTTGACCCAACATTATAAATAAAAAACATTTTATCAAAAACATTATGCTTAAAACACGCTGATATTCAGGTTATCGATTATATGTAGCTTGATAAACTGATTTGGATAATTGTTTTTATAAGCTATTTTGAGCATTTTATTCTTTAAGGTCAACCACTTCAAAAAATAATTGTCTTTTACAATGAGAATAACTAGATTCATGATCATGGCCGGCCAGGGGCCGGCCTTAATATTTGAAAGTAACAAATGTATTTTATTTAATTTTATAAATATCATAAAGATTATTTATTTCCAATTTTGAACATTGTTTTCGAACGGAACAGTCCGGTTGACTAAAATTCTTATTTTTTTTTTTAATTTTTGATTTATTTATTTATAATTTTTTTTAATATTTAATTTATTCTTTTATTTTTTAGGTTCGATCTGTTCCTCCGCTTAGGCTATGAACCTTCGAACGAAGGCGGAGGTAAGCTGTTAAAGTTATTTTATTTTATTTTTTTTTAGTTTATATTTTATATATTTATTTTTTTTTTAATATTTAATTTATTCTTTTATTTTTTTTAGGTTCGATCGGTTTCTCTCTCCACTTAGGCTAGGAACCGGACGGAACCTTCGAACGGAACCGACCGATTCGTTACCGCAGCGAAGGTAAGCCGTTTATGTTTTTTTTTTATTTAGTTTATATGTTTATTATTTTTTTTTTTAATATTTAATTTATTCTTTTATTTTTTTTTTAGTTCGATTGGTTTCTCTCTCCACTTAGGCCAGGAACCTTCGAACGGAACCGTCCGATTCGTTACCGCGGCGAAGGTAAGCCGTTTATTTTATTTTTTTTATTTAGTTTATATATTTAAATTTTTTTTTAATATTTAATTTATTCTTTTATTATTTTTTAGGTTTGATCGGTTTCTCCTTAACAACAGTCCCCATTCCTTAGTTGGTTAAAATAGTTTTTATAAGTTGTTGAAGTTGGAATTCAGATAACAAAAAGGGTGTCTGAAATTGGAATTCTAATTTCAGTTAACTGAAATCTCAATTCCAGACACTCGAAGATCGTCTGAATTCCAACTTCAGACAAAAATAAATTTCAGTCACAACAATGCAATCAATCACTTAATGCTAAATGGGGACGAAGTCCCCTGCAAACCGCAAACTGTAGTTACGAAATTGTAAAAAAAAAAAAAATTGGCATATTGTGATTGGTTAAAATAGTTTTTTATAAGTTGTCTGAAGTTGGAATTCAGATAAACAAAAAGGGTGTCTGAAATTGGAATCACAATTAATTCCAACTTCAGATGAAAATCAATTTCAGTCACAACAATAATATAGACAGTTATATAATCTTCAAATTCGATATTCACAAGGTTCAAACTAAACCGATTAAAATATTGATGAAGATCTGAACAAACCAAAAAAAAAAAATTAAACAAAAAAAAATGAATAAATTCAGAAATGATTATCAAAAATTCGCAAGACCCAAAAATATTTATCTATTACGAAGGTCTCATAATTAAAAAATATTAACGATCGTTAAATAGTGTAATTATGGAGAAAATTAAGACTTTAACATTTCTCTGTCTAAATTATTATACTTTATAATTTGATAATTCAACAAACTCATTTATTCATAATTCATGTTGAACTTGATAATTAAAAAATGAATTTTAAAGCTCCGAGTCGTTCAATTTAAAATTTCAGAAATTCGCTATTTATTTTAATAAACTTTATTTGGCTTAATAATCAATATTTAGAATGCACTTTTGCGCAGCAGCAAAATCGAATAATTTCTGTTAAATACAATCTAAATCATAAATGGAGAGAATTTATCAGTGGATACCGAAATTTATAATCGTGATGTTTAAAAAAAAAAAAATTAACAGAATGACGAAAATAATCCAGGACCATTGAAGCTCGGCACAACAGACGAAAAAGCCGCCAAAATTTGAGATTTTGAAAAGTTTATAAACTTACGTTAAAAAAAATTTTTTGTGATAAATAAAAAAAGATATGGCGATATCTTGTAAATAAACAAAATTTTTGTTTTATTATTTCGCTGTTTTTAGTTTCTGCCGACGTACAATGTTACACTAAATTAAATGCGCATTGCGAAAGCAATGTATTACAACGTTAATTATAAAATATTCTATTTTTGTGTAAAATTAATTTTTTACTGTAATTATCTTTAATTCTTTAATTATGTCAAAGAATTATTACATAAACATCGTATCATGGGTTTTAATTCAATTACTGATTAAAATAAATTGCCAAAATGTGCTTTTCAAGCCAACAAAACGATCCAGTCATACGTCCACACTTATTGATGGTAATTTGTATATCTTAGGTGGTCGAGATGAACTGTTTACTAGAAGAATCGGAAAAGAATTTTTTTATTTAGACGTCACTGTCCCATTTAATACTCAAAATATATCATGGCATGATTTAACAAGCATTAATACAGTTCCAGCACATATGGCTGCTGCATCCGTTAAAGGTGGTGCACATAATAACACCTTGTTTTTATATGTAGGAATTCCTTATGATAATACTGAAGCAATGGCTTTAATTTATGCATTTGATACTCGAAGTTATTCATGGGGTATTCCAAAAATGTCTGATGTCACTATTGGCAGAAAAGATAACCTAAAAGGCATTGTTGATGATAACGGGAAAATGTATTTGTTTGGTGGACATACTAGCGTTGATGATTATCGAAATGATATGATTATTTTCGATACATTAAATTTAGATTGGAAAATAGGAAGTTCAATTAACGCGCCTTCTCCAAGAGCTGTTTTTGGTTCAACCCTCATCTCCGATCATTTAATTATCTATATTGGTAAGCAAATAATTTTTATAACATTTTACAATCCGTTATCAATTTCCTTGTTTATAAAATTATTGTTATTTAGGTGGCATTGATAATCTTGCTTTATCGTTAAATGAGGTGAATTTTAAATGAAATAATTAGAAATTGAGAGTTTATATATTTAACAATCAATGAAACTTTAGGTATACATATATGATACGATTAATGATAATTGGAGCACAAAGGTAAGTTCGCTTTATAAAGATTTCTAACAGCTGATAAACTCATATTAGATTTTACGTTAGATAACTTCAGGGACAATACCTTCCAACAGAAATTCTTTTTCTGCTGTTCTTGGTAGGTATTATATTATATAACGTCATAATTATTTTAAATTTTAATTAATTATGATAAATAAATTCTTCTAATAAAGGATTGGATGGACAACGAGTCATAATTTTCGGAGGGGCAAAGGAATACGAAAATCTTCAATCTCAAAATGCGCTTTACGTATTAAATTTAATAAATTACGAGTGGTACATTCCAAAAATTTCTGGAAAAATTCCGAGTCCCAGACGTTGGCATGAAGCGAACGTAATTGGAAAATATATGGTTGTATCATTTGGTATGTATACGAGTGTGTCAATTTGATCATAAAATATTAAAAATATTTGAATTTTACATAAGAATTAATTTATATACTAAACTCAATAGGTCGAGGTTATGAAGATAATGATATTTTATTGCTTGATATTAGTAATAATGAAGAATATATATGGACAGACAGTTTTGATCCAACATTTCCAATAATTAGTCCTTCTCCAAAAACTCCAACTGATCCTTCAAAAGTGCAACCAAACGCTTCTCCAACACAAACAACGCAATTACAAGTACCAACTGTGATTGGTATAGCGATAGGATCATTAGCTGTTGGATTTTTTTTAGCACTCGGTGTATTTTTTTTATATAGATGGAATAAAAATAGAAGAGAAAGTGAAAAGGCAATACCAACTACTGAAATTGAAGAAGGTAATGAAGTCGTAATAATTCCTACTCAAAAGATTAATAATTATGAGCAAGGAATGATTCCAAATACACCAGCTTATAATAGCGCTTACTACCATGAGCAGAACATTCTATCCATACCAGGGAATACTTATGGACAACAAATGTTACCAATCTCTCAAAACAATTATAATATTTATAATCAAAATAATCATGAACAGGTATTACAAAATTCTAGAAATGTTTATAATCATGGAAGTGAAACTTATCCAGGCGCAAAAATTCAAGGATAATTACAGAATATTGGAAAATATTATAAATTACGTTCTTCATATGGTTAGGCAAGAGATCAAAAAAAATCTAGTAAATAGTAAATAAGCTCCTATATTTAAATATTTATTATTATTATTTTTTTTGAATTAGAATAAAACTGCTGCGTTGGCGTTGGCGTTGGATTTAATAAAAATTATAAGTATCAAGTTAATTTTCATAAGTTTTGATATTAATCGATTAATATAGACCAATTAAAATTTAAATGATTTATCCAACCAATAGTGAAACCTAATAATATCTTCTCGAATTCTCGAATTTTTTTTCTATTAATATTGATATCAATATCAATATAAAAACGGCCCCCATAGTTCCTGTATGAAGATAACTAAATTTATACCTATACCTTCCTTTTTGAGAACGGCCATAACTTACACTATATAAAGTGAAATCACCTGACACTAATATCCATATGGCATAAACTGTTTATAGTGTTAAAGATCAATGATGAACAATTCTACAAATAGTACTACAAATCTTTTACATCAGGTGGCCTTTAACTGTTCAATCTATTAGCATTTGTTGTAGAACTGCAAGTATCCTGACAAGCCACAACAGCATCACTTCTGGCAGAAATGACAAAATGTCAACAAACGCTACCTCATATGATGTCTCAAATAATACTGACGAATATTATATCTTTAGAACCTCCTACGCTTTAGTCGTCATTCCATCATCATTATCTTATTCACATATAACGAAATATAAGAATGAAATTTTAAAACAATGTCCTCCTTCTAAAGCACTAACAAACATTCTTTTTAATTTCGCTCTAATTAAATATCACTTCATATAATCGAGATTTATTTACAGAAAAAGAAGCTGAATTTTTACCAGAGATACTTACAAAATCGATTCGATATGAGTGATCTCTGAAATATTTCTGTTACACTAAATTTATGAAATTGTCGATCACCTTTCGCGCATACAATAAATCAATAAAAAATTTCCCTCCAGATATATAATAAAAATAGACAAATATGTTATATTTTATTATAATAAATCTAAAAATCGATAGTGTAGATAATTAATTAGTAAATTAAGATTTATTTGTATTTAACAAATTCAATAAATAAACTTTTTTTTATTATTAAAACTTTATGAAATTTATAATTAATCAAAAAAGTCCGTGGTAACATTGTGTCACATAAATTTAAAAAAATAATATATTGTATATAAATTCTGAGTAAAACTTATTAGAATAATATAAACCTAAAATTGTTAAATTTAAAATCGGTCTGTCAAAACGGTCGGTGGGTCACCGATCCCTAATTTCGAGGATTTTTTTTTGAGAAATTCGGAATCATAGATTCACTTAAGTTTATTCTTCCGGGTAAAAAAAGGTAAGATCGTGATATAAAGAAAAAAAATCAATAATAAATTTAAAGTATAGAGAAAATCGAAATAATAAAAAATTTAATTAAAAGTATTAGTATTTAAATTTTTTTTTTTTTAAAAAAAAAAAAAAATATCTAATGAATGAAATCATTTTGATAAAAATTTTTGATTCGAATATTTTATTTTACGAAAAATGAATGTTATAAATAAGATATTAGCAAAAATATGAAATGCATGACATATTAATTGAAATTTTGTGATATGCTTTGAAAGGATATGCATTTCTAAGATTCTCTGTCATGTAATAGCACACGTTTTTCAAGAAACAGTAAAAATTTCACATATTAGCAATATTAAAATAAAACCTTTCTAATTCCCAATACTTAAAGCTGAAAAAGTTTAATATTTATTATCATAAAAAAAAAATTTAGTTTTGATAAATTAAATGTTTTCATATTGTAATATTTGATAGTAGTAAATCTAATTCATTAATCGCAATCATAATACCATCCATTATCTGCTGGAGGGGCACAATTGTAAGAGTTGCAACCTTCTGGAAATGCAGAACATCGGATAGTCGATTCATTTACGCAATCTCCTGAATTTATACTTCAACCGTTTACATTATTTTGACAGTAATCATCATGGTTAACGAAATTCTTAATATATCTATGACATCGGGTTTATACACAATTGTTGTAATGAATTAGCTGACCGCAGTCAAATGTACCACGTTGTTGACAAACAGGC